GTCCACACATCTTAAAGTGGCCAAGGTTGAGAAACACTGCTGTACAGTATGAAGTGTTCTTCCCGGCAGTCCAGGGGAATAAGAGAGCAACTTTCATCAGAGTTTATGTGCAGAAAATGATAGGCCATTGTGGACCTCTAGAGTCTTTGGTGCCAGACAGCTCAACTGGGGTGGTAATATAGAGAATGCTGAACACCAGACCCAGCCGCCTCTTTTCTCTGCTGTCTTCAGGATGTTGCCTTCATCTCATCCCCAGCCCACGAGTGAGACAGCCTTCAGTTGGCCTTTTTCACACGTGTCCCTTTGAGTCAGTCTTGCCTCCTGGCAACTGCCTGGACAAGTCCCTGTGGTTTTCCTGGCAAGGTTTTTCAGAAGTGGTTTGCCATTGCCTCCTTGCTAGGGCTGCGAGAGATGACTGGCCCAAAGTCACCCGGCTGGTTTCGTGCCCAAGGCGGGACTAGAACTCACGGCCTCCCAATTTCTAGCCTGGTGCCTTCACCACCACACCCAACCGGCTAACTGCATCCTAGGAACGTGGGGGGAAATACTGCTACGAGACGCTTCCTGAACAGGAGGCCCTTGCCTTTTTCACGCCACCGAGTGTAAGATCTCGGGAGCGGATGGAGGGCAGGCGGCCTGGCGAGATGGGCGCGGGAGTCCTCCTCCCTATTAATCCTCTGGCCGCAGAAAGCGTGGGCCGGGCGCTCTCGGGGTCGCCGCCTGAAGTGCCTTCCGACATCTTGAAGGACCTGCCGAAGAAGAAGAGGAAGAAGAAGAGGAGGAGGAGGAGAGTTGGCTGAAAAGACTCTCCGTCCCCCCACAAAGGCTTCTGAGCGAAGGTCTCGCCCAAGCCGTCCAGAGGGCATCGCGGCCCGCAGAACCGGCCCAAGAGGAGCCAATCCCTGCCCACCCAACACGTGAAAGGACAGAGGGCGGCGCACGTGTGGAGGAAGCGTGCCGCGGGTCCACTTTTTCCCTCCACGCCCGGCAGGCGGGAAAGACGCCGGCCCAGCCCGCGCCGCCGGCCCCCGCGGACTACAGATCCCATCGTCCTCAGCCCGCAGGGGGTACGTGGGGGGCCGCAATGGTCCCACGCCTCGGAAGGGCGCTGCGGAGAATAGGACCCGTCCTCCCACGCATCCGGCGAGCGCCGAGAAGGGGAGGGACAGTTCAGGCCTCTTCTGTGCCAAGGAAAGGACTGAAGGCCACCAGGAGAAGCACTGGGGATGCCAGCCCCCCCAACACACACACCGTTGACGGCTATCCGCAAGAGCCGCAGCGGGGCCTCCCCCCTCTTCCCGCTCACGCCGCCCTTACAGAAAACGTCCCCTCGTCTCGTCTCGTCTCGTCTCCTTTCCCGGCTGACCCACGGCGCCTTCGACCTCCCCGCCCCGGTCAGGCCTCTCCGCCGCCTCGGCGAGCTGCAGGCCTCTCAAGGCGCCATCTTGGCCTGCCCTCCCCCCGTTCTGCGTTCCTGAAGGGCTCGTCCGCCATCTTTGTCACGGGCATGGCTCCTTTCCTGCCCCGCCCCTTCCCTCCGTCCGGGGAAGGCCAGCAGGGAATCCGCCATCTTTGTCGCGGGCGGCTGTTACGCGGCGTTGGGTTGAACGACCGACAGCGGACTGTCTAGTTTGGGAGGCCAGTTTGGGGGCGGCTGGCGGAACTGCCACGTGCCTGGCGCGACCGAAGTCACATCGCTATATGGGACTGGCGATATGAGTACTGTCCTCTATGCCTAGCCCTTTTATATGGGTCTAAATTTAATGGGACGCCCCCCCCAGGAGTCAACCATGTGTTCTGCTTGGTTAGGGGTTTGAATAAACTCAGATATGGTTTATAAACAGATTAATGGATTCATTTGTTGTCTTAATTCAATCAACAGCAACTCGTTCAGCAAAAAATGGCTTAGAGTGGTGTTTCTTAAACTTTGCTCTCAGGACCCCTCCCCACTTTTAAAAATTATGGAGGACCCCCAAAAGAGTTTTTGGTTTGTATGGGTTATATTTATCGATATTTACCGTGTTAAAAATTGAACTGGACGCATTCATAGAATATTTATTGAATCATGTAAAAATAACGATAATTAAATACATTAGACATTAGCATAAATATTTTTCATGAAAAAAATCCTGTAACAAAAATAATGAGAAGAGTGACATTGTTTTAAATGTTTGCAAATACTTTCAATACCAGCAAAAACATGTTTGGGAAAAAATGAACATGGCAATTCTAATGCTTCCCTCAACTGCAACTATTAAAGTCATAAAACTGGATAGATCCCATTACGAAGGACATGTTTCCAAGGCTTTCACAAATTTAAGATTTGCAAGATTTGCAGTGGACTATAAATTTGTCCTTTGAGATTATTTAGATGCATTTTTATCCATTAGAAGAATAATAAAAAATACCTAGTCCAGCATTCTCTGACAAACAGACCATACGGTTGCATGTGGGAGGCTTTAAAGCAGGACATGACTGTACAACATATGACGTGCTATAAAAACGTTTGGGCATTTTTACTTGGAAGTAACTCTTTAATTCTCAGTAAGTGACTTGAGGATGTTTGCTTTGAAGAGAATTTAATAAGGTAATTCAAGAATGTGAAGAATGTCATACTTCAACAATGCACATGTTCATTTAGTCACATACAGTATATACAACATTATTAATGAATGGCTGCAGCAAAACTGCCAGTTTCAAACCATGTTCAGCACCTAACAATCAGCGGTTGAAGGAAGGCTAAACCTCAGGCAAAAACCACCTCTTTCTTGTCAAAAGGTGGTTTTCCAGCTGTTAGGAAACAAGGAAGTCTTGGAGTTCCTTGGCATTTCTCCTGGCTGTCTGACAGCTAGATTAATGCTTGAGCCTGGCTTACTGTGAGGCAGCTGTTCTGTGGGGCTAGGAGAAATGGTGGAAGATAAAGCTGTTTGTGCCATTTAGCCTGCCCTGAGTCACCTGCCATGTCCCACAGGTCCTGTGAAGGGTTTGCATCCCATCACCAGGGTTGCACTCAGGTCCCACAGCCCATCAAGAGGCCACTGTATGTGGAGGAGGTACCATTTCGCCATGCGGCTTTTACAGCTGAACATTATAAGCCATCTGTTCAGAAAATAAAATAAATAAAATAAAATAAAATAATACACACACACACGCATACATTCAAGCTAGTTAGGATGAGGAAATCAGTGAGGGCTGCCTATATTCCACTTGCCACAACACAGCCTGAAGAAATAATAAAATGGATACCGCATCATATTAGGCAGAAACACTTCCGTATAGGCATGGAGAGAGAAAATATTAGCTGCATTCACACCACACCCTTAGCTTTGTTAATGCTAACTTTGTTACTGCTATTTTTTTCATGGCTAACATGTTATGTATACCTAGCCAATGAGGACGTTGTAGGAGGAGACCCATAGTCTAGGGTAGCCCCAAATCAGGCGTCCGGTGCCCCTTTTCTTACTAATCAATTTTATTAAAAGACATAAGCTTTTTTTGTGAGCTGCATTTAGCTAGCCAATATACAGTAGTTATCTTATAGTTCACAGTGTTGTCCAAGCTGTGATGATTGGGTTAATCTGGTTAAGCAACATTAACGCGAACTATTCGTAGAATATTGCATGAATGCCGCCCGCGGTTGGTTGGTTGGTTTGGTTTTCATTTCATTCTTAGTTCTCCCAGGTAATTAACAGAGAGAAATTGCTCAAGCATGCAGAAAGAAAAAGGAAAAGGGGGAAAAAAAGAATTTTTGCTACCGCTAGATGATGCTAAGTAATTCCAAACACTTAGTAGCTGGGTTTGGCCGTGAGACAAAGAGGCAATATCTTTTTTAGGCCAACTAAAGCTGTACAAAAATCAGGGCAAACTTTTTAAGTTTCAGGAACTTTCAGTCAGGCAAGATGGTGAGAAGATAAAGGGAGGGAGCAAAATGTGGGTGCTTGGAACCGCCAGGGTGTCTCCAGGCATGCAAATTGAGCCTTATCAAGACAGAGTCGAGATTAGTTAAGGGCTCTCTCACAGTTGCAAAGAAGAAACAAATAAACATTTTTTAGGTTCCCCATTTTGGGAAAGGTGTTCCACCTTTCAAGTCATCATCACTATTTTCAAGCATTTCCTGATGATGCTTAATATTTTCCTGCTGCAAGGCGACACGTTAACCCATTCTCTCTAGATGGCTTTTTGGAGAAATGCCAGCAATTGACTTGGGATAGGTTTTGCACTGTGCTGCTTGGGATCCCAATTTTTAACGTCGGGGCTCAGGTATGAGCCAAGTAATCAGGAAGCATTTGGGTGGAATATTTCCAGATTGTCTTTCTAACATCCAAGAAACTCCAGCCAACTGTTGCATGTTTCGGTGAAGGGTGGGTGGCTGCAGGCACCTTCCATATTCAGGGGTAATAAGGGTGAAAATGTTAGTCACGGAAGATAGCCATTGCTTTTCTTCCCTACCTGTGAGCTTTCCCAAGGTCTCTAATCGGCCACCGGGGGATATAGGTTACCGAACTCGCTGAATTCTTGGGATTTATTGCAGTAAACTCTAAAGGGGTTGGTTGGTTGAGGGTTATTATCATAGTTGTGGAGCAGGCCACTATGGCTCATTGAACAAACTTTTGTTGAAGCAAACCTTAGTTAAAACAAATCAGAGTTTAGCACCAGAGTTTAGATACGTGAACCTAACCTGATCCAGGAAAGGGTTTCATAAATTATATCCCAGTATCAACTCATGCTAATCCTGTTCCTCAGAAAAGCATTTGTAGTATGTTTTTTTTTCCCCAGTTCCTATGGGAGTGACAGACAATCAGGTCCAACAGGGCCAGATAATGCTTTGCAAATTCCTAGTCTGGCCTTCTGCCTTTCAGTTCCCAGTTCTGTAATGGCTGGCTGGGGAATTCTGGAAGTTAAAGTCTACAGATCTGGAGAGCTTCCCAACCAGTGGAAGGCTGGCTTAATCCTTTGCACTGTGCATGGCCCTGGGCAATTGTGGCAAAGCCGTTAGGCTGATTTTCAGCATCCTGGTAGGGCACACAATTATTTTCTCTTTTATGTGTCATCATTGTATTATTACTGCCAGAGAAAAGGAAGAAACATGTGAAATTTTCTGCTTCAGGGGTCCGAATAACTTGCTGTCTTGGATAGTCACTCTTTGACATGTGAGTGAGAAATAATTGCCATTGGTTTTTCTTTCCGGCAATGTCTTAGGTCAATCCTGTTCTGGTGGGAAGAAGATATTTCGTCAGCTGTCAAGACCATCCTGGAAATGCATCATGTCCTGCAAGGCTGCCAAAATTTGTTTTCTCCCAATTAACAGTTTGCAGAAATGTGTTGGTGGTAAGGTCAGATGAGATGACCCAGAAGGATAGAATGACAAACCTGCAATGTTCAAATTATGAATCAGCTCCCTAAAAATAAAGTGACTATGGAAACCATCAGATCTGAGACAGGCAGTGAATCTCCTAAGTGCATGTACACAAGCCCCTATTTCTCTGCAGTTATACAGGTTATGACACTTATGGACACCATCCCGCTGCATAGGGCTTAATGGAGTTGAGAACACACATTATTCCTGGTGACACCCTATGGAAGCAAAAGCTGGACTTTGAAGAAGCAGGATATGAAGAGTATTGACACGTTTGAACTTTGGTGTTGAAGAAGACTCCTGAGAATACTGTGGACAGCCAAGAAAACAAATCAATGGATCATTGAACAAATCAATCCAGAGTTCACTCAAGGCACAAATGACCAGACTCAAATTATCCTACTTCAGACACACATTATGTGAAGACCTAGCTTTCTGGAGACAGCTAGAATACTGGGAAAAGCAGAAGGAAACAGAAGAAGAGGATGACCAGCAGCAAGGTGGATGGACTCAGTTACAGTGGTGATGAGTGCATCATTAGAAGACCTGACAGACCAGGTTAGGGACAAATCTGTCTACATGGTCCCCAAGAGCTGAAAATGACTTAATGGTATATAATCAATCAATCACTAAATAAGCTACAGTTGGCAGTGTTTGTGCAAGGTACTAAGCCATAAGCCATAGATGACTGGAGAAGTTGGGGGAGAGAAAGAGGAGGAATGGGTCTTTTGGATGCCAGAAAACCTATTTCCCCTTCTCTTTTCCCTGCTTGTCTTGCTACAGGTGGCATGAGAAACGGGGGAGAGAAAGGAATGGCTGCTTTGGTGCCAGTCCTCTGATCCTACTTATTTCTTACTCCCTCTTTTCTCAAGTGGGTAGAACCCCTGCTTTTGTTGCCAAGGCAGAAGAGGGTTTGGAAGCCTAGTCAAGGACTTCCTTAAGCCAAGATACTTTTCCTCCAGCCCCCACACTGGGAATTGCCACTTTCCTGCTGCCATGAGGAAGAAAGAAAAGCCCATCCCACGAAAGGAGAAGGGCATGTTTGGTATGAAGATGTGCTTTCAAGCCAAGCGTTGGGCAGCAACTGAAGGCGGTATGGTGCTCAAGCCTCAGGAGACTTGGTCCCTTCCCTCAGAAGGGAAGGTCCCAAAGAGAGGACCGCTGTTGAGACTAAACTTTTATTTCAAGGCAAAGGGCCCTGGGAAATTGCATTATTTGGGAGTGAGGATTGCATTTTGCATTGTTTACTGATTAATGCACAGGAATTTTTGTGTGTGTTTCTATATGCCTTTTGGAATCATCATGGCGTTGGATAATGACAGGGGAAATGTTGGTGACTAGTTTTGAGGTGGCATTTGAGAAATGTGCCTGTTTAAATTTTAGGTAAAGTTGTTAGATGGCTCTTCTGTTGTTCCTTTGCTATTGCAATGAATCTGAGTATGAGACCTCTGCAGAAGGGG